GCTAACCCCAGGGTTGGATTCTGGCGTGCTGCCTTTATCATGGTCAGGTCACTTTTTTTCTACTGCTGAAGACCGAAATACAGGGCACGAAGTAACTCCAGGACCTTAAGCTTTGCGTGAAGCCATTACAAACAAATCTGAGGATGGAGTACGGGTTGCCTGCATCTCTGAGCGATGGGCAGTCAAGCTGCTTCACGTTCAGATATATCTCTGCAGTTTGCTCAGGTGATGCTGAGGATGGTTTTACACTCATACACCTGCCTTCTGACTCAGGGCTCGGAAGAATCCAGATGCCTCCCCATCAGTGTGTCTGCTTAAATTAGAGGTGACAAATTATTGATAATTAGCATCATTGTTTTTTTTTGTTTCACCACTGCAAAATGTGAATTTATAAAAGGCAATTTATTTTTATCTTTGGCCTCAGGAACTCCAGAGCAGTTGTACTTATTCTTAATTGCTTGTTTTATGGGTGGAAATTAGGCTGTAACACAAACTGCAGTGTGAGGAGTCGCAGATAGAATGCTTGCAGTGTCGGAACAGCGAGGAGGAAAAACTGGTGCTGGGGTTTGCCTGATACTTCACAAATTCCAATTTTTATTAAGTTTAACAATGCAACCATTTCCAAGCATTCTATAACTAAATATAGTAATGAAATTTTATTTGAAGTCAGGAACATTATCCAGATATGACTTGATGTGTGTAAGATACTGCACATCAATGGAGTGGTACAGATTGTGTTAAATGGGCCTGAAATAATCTTCGGGAAAGAAAATCGTTTTCTATTCTTCTTGACACAAAGTGTTTGTCACAGATACGCGTTCTTATCCGCATCTTGTTAGTGAAATCATTATACTTTTCATTACAACTTTTATGCAAATACGCTGGTTTTCCTTGATTAGGTTTGCGCGAATACGCTGTAATTACAGGCTGAGGTGTTATTAATGTGTAACAATTAAATATGAAATTACGATGTGTAATTACAGCTTGAAGAAAGTGTTGTAATAGCGCACGCACCACGCTGACTTACAGGCAGGGTGTTGCCCACGGGAGATAACAGCTCTGATGTTCTGCACATTTATCCTAACAAATCTTCTTGGCAGAGGAGCATCCTCGAGCAGAAGGAGCCGTTCTGGCTGGGGATGTGTGGGATTAACCCATGCCCTGTGCAGGAGCTCAGGGCATAGGAGGGCAGCGGGGGGACGTTGCTGCACCATGCACAGCTCCCCCAAAGTCTCTACTGCTGAATGTTGGATTTTAGGAGTGAGGACCCTTCCATCCCTTCTCCAGCTCAAGGATACGTTGCCTTGGGGACTTGATGATCCTCAAGTGTGCTCTGTTTGATGTATCCCTAGGAATACACCTCCTCGTGGTGGAAGGACTTGGTGCCCGGTAGGGGATTGAATTTTTAGCTTTGGACTGATGGTGTAATGCACTGATTCTGCTGCGATTTGGATGGATTTATATGGGTGAGTCTGTGCTTAAAAGGTGCTCTCTGCTTTCCTGTATGGTCCTCTATAGGTTAGTAGGACAAGGGGGAATGGCTTTAAACTAAAAAATTGGAGATGTCAGTTAGTCATTAGGAGGAAATCCTTTCCTTAGAGGGCAGTGAGGCACTCAAGGCCAGGTGGGATGGGGCCCTGGGCAGCCTGGGCTGGTGGGGGGCAGCCCTGCCCATGGCACTGCATGGGCTTTGAGCTCCCCTCCGACCCCAGCATTTCTGTGATTTTTTTTCCCTCCTGTGTTATAGAATCATAGAATCATAAGGTTGGAAACGACCTATAAGATCATCTAGTCCAACTGTCTTCACGTTACCGCTGCTACCACAAGCTACTAAGCCATATCTCGCAGCTCCTCATCCAGACAAATATGTGTATGTGAGGAGAAGCTCCATGCTCAGGCTGTGGCACTGCTGGAGGTCCACCAGAGCTCGTGCTGAACCCTTCTCTGCTGCTTAAGCACCTGCTGTGAGCTGGGGCTTTGCTAGAGAGAGTGACTTAAGGGCAACTCTTCAGCCATGTCCTGAGGATGTGTGGCGTGCTCCTTTTACCTGGCTCTAGGACAGCTGGTTGGTTATGTGTATCTGGAGATGAGGTCTGTTTTCCTTTTGGTACGTTTTTGCTCTGATGCTCTGAGGATGATTTTGCTTTAGCTCCTTTCCATTGAAGTGTAGGCCAGGCAACAAGAACGCCTGGGGGGTACATCTTGAAGAGGGCTACCACGAAGCAGATAAAACAGTAATACTTCTTCTGCTGGGAGAATACCAATGAGGGACTGGAAGAACCTGCTTAACTTCAGTTTTATCTGTACTAAAAAAGTAACTGAGGAAGAATACAGATCGGGCACAGTTAAAACACACCTCATATCTGCATTGCAGTGAGGACTCAAGCTAATGGCTGGGGGATCTCAGATAGGAGTGGGAAGAAGGTTTGAGGTGATGGGAACTGGCTGATGGTATCCTGGTGCTGCCCTGCGTGAGCACAGAGCTGGGGGCATGCAGGTGGGAGGATGGCTGTGTCCTGGTGTGGTGTTGCTTTGTGGCCTGCAGCTGCACATGTGCTCCTGCTGTGCATGCACAGGGGTCTGTCCTTGCTGTATGACTTCTAGCAGAGCTGCTACAGAAAGCAGATAGATCCATTATGCGATGTTAACTCAGGGCTGCTGCAATTGGAGTTACTGCAGCTCTTCTGTCCTCAAACGAGTTATTTTTCCTTGGTGAGCTCTCTGCAGTGAAGTGTTGCTCCTCTGTGTGCTGTCTGTGTTGAGGATGCGCAGGACACACTCTGGGGAAACGTAGGCAGAGTTAAAATCGACCTCCAGGATTTGTTCTATTGAAATTGATAGGAAGAAGCATCCCAGCGGCTGCCTTCCCAAATGCATTAATAAATTAAACCCTTTGCTTCAGTGTCTGGAAGCTCCACGTGGAGGTATGCATTCAGTTGTCTTAGTGCTGGAAAAGTGCAAAATCCCTTCAGGTGGTTCCTTTTGTGCCCTCCCTTGGCCTTGCTATGCTGTCCATCTGCATGATGCTCAGATGCTGTTTGCATTCCTTCTCTTGCCTGCTGGAACATGTGTGCCCTTTGAAGTTTTACATCTCTGGAAACTTTTTTTCCAGGCACCTTATTATGTCTGGTTTAATTTCTGTTAATCCACTTGTGCGTGTGGTTTATGAGTTCTAAACGATGGGATTTTTTTCCTCTGTGTGACACTTTGCTGCGTTTTCAGTTGGCGCTGGCAGAAAGAATACAAAAATAAAAATGAAAAAAAAAGAAGAGAATCGGTGACCTCAAGGTGCTTGCTGGAATTCTTCTCCTGGAAAAAGGCCAGAAGAGCTTTTCCAGTGGATTCAAGGTCAAGTTGGACCTTGAGCTATAGATGTCCCTGTTTGTTGCAGGGGAGTTGGACCAGCTGGCCTTGAAGGGTCACTTCCATCTCAGTTGATTCTATGATGAAGTATTGAGACACTTCAGACACAGTTGAGATACTGAGGATATCCATTTCTAGCTTTGGGAGGATTGCAAAGGGTTTGTTTCTGCTTGTCGGAGCCCCTCCTGTGGGAGGAGGGATTCAATGTCAGCAGTTGTAGAAATGCACTTTGGGAGAGATCTGGGTGTAATTAAAGATGCGTTGGCAAGGGCATGTATTTAAATGGCTTTGCTTTTTTCGTGGCATCCTTATTACAGCTACAGGGACACCTTGGCTTCCTTTGTTTTTGCTTTGGAGTTCGGTTTTTCAATCAGCTGACGTGCAGCAAGAGCTTCTCTTGGAAGGGAAGGGCAGCCCCTGTTTGTTGCCTTCCTGCTGCTTTGCGTCCCAGAGCACGAGCTGTGCTGGGATTCCTAGCACAGAAACACTGCTTGCTGCCTTAGCTTGGAGAAACGAGTTATTGTGCCGGCAAGAATTGTTTGAAGAATTAAAATTGACCCATTTCCTTCAGGCGCAGTGAAGTTAATACTCAAGAGTGTTAACATCGTAGGAGTGATTTGAGAAGTATTATTTGTCAAATCCCTGAGCTAATATGTATGTAGGTATAAATAAAAAGGCCTCAAAGGTTGTTTCAGTATTTATTAACCTCTCCTCTTCTTCAGGGGCCTAACTTGGCTGCTAAAGCTTGGCCAAGGCTTTTAGCTAGCAGTGTGGATGCTGTTTCCCAACGTTCTAAAGCATCTTCCAGGAGGAAAAAAAAAGGATGTGTTAACACCTGTATGAGAAGTTTCATGGCTGTTGTTGCATGCTCTGCCCTCCTCATGTTAAATGGAAGGAACGTGGAGATGTGGCACTTGAGGATGTGCTTGGTGGACATGGTGGGGATGAGTTGGGGTTGGACGTGGTGATCTTGGAGGTCTCTTCCAACCTGTATGATTCTGTTTCTAACTGGTATCGTGTGGTGAACACTTCTGTCTGCTAATTCATGGCTGTAGTCATACATCTGGACATAAACAGGGAACTTCCAGAGGCTGTGGGTAGAGTTCCTCTTGTTTCTTTGACAACAGCACACCCTGAGCAGCAGCTGGCTCTGGGCTGAGCTCCAGCTGAGGTGGTACCCATGCAGCCATTGGAAAACGTGTGCATGAGAGCTCAGGACAGACCTGCTGCTGGGAAGCATTAAGTCACAGATAACATCACGTTTAGCACCTTTCATTTTTCTGTGATGTTACTTGAAACTGGGGTCTATATTCATTGCATTTTGATACTACAGAATAAAAGCACCAAATGAAACTTTTCATTCTCTAGATTTTTTTGGATCTAACTTGCTACATTTGTACTAAATTGATCTTTTTCTTCCCATTTTCTTTAGGTAAGTGGACGCGATTTGAGTGTTAATGTTCTGCATTGGACAACTGCTGAGTCACTGAAACCGTAAGCTGTGTGCCAGCTGGGAGATGCTCCATGCAGTAGTGAGTCCAGAGGCGATGGACCAGCAGAGATGTGGTGTCCCTGCAGCACAGAGTGGGGTCAGCACATGTTGGTTGGAGACACCACTCCTGGGTTACAGGTTTTTGTCCTTTTCTGGTATTATCCCAGTGGAGTGAGGAAAAGAGAATTTGAGCTCTTCCTTGTCTAGTCCTGTTGTAAAAATGCATTTAGCCTTTGCCGTGTGCTGATCTTTTTTTTTCCTGATTTTTCTTTTTTCTCCATAGTATATTTACAATTGTTACTTGCTCCTCATTTACAAATGCAGTTTGATTCCTTGGCTTGGGAATGTTCTTCAGCTTAGTGTTGAAAGGGAGTGTGAGGTAAAGGCAGGGAGGGGTTTTTTTTTATTTATTTATTTTATTATTATTTTTAAGTAATGCTTAATCTAGAATTAAATTCAGAAGAGTGCCTGGAGAAAATAAGATCTCTCTGATCAGATTCTCTGAATACTTTTTGTCTTATCTAATAAGCAGGAGAAGCCAGTAGAGGGAATTATATGCTGGAAGGGGAATTTTAATAGCAACAGATATGCAAAGAGGAAAGTATCTCAAGTGAGCAGAGAGTACAGGCTGGCAAATGATGGATCTTTTCTCTGCTTGAAAAATGCAACTTTTTGTGGTACAAACCTGAAGCCCAGCCTTTCTCTCTTAAGCTAGAGAAGTCTTACCAGCTCCCTTGAGATTTTGGGGTTGTGAGAATCTGAAGTCCTTCCCTGCTGATGTGGGAGCCTCCAACTAGAAAGAGGTATACCAACTGCTGCTTTATTGTCTGTAGCACAGTCAGTTCTGATTGTAGAGGCCTTGGTTATTTGTTTTGCAACCCTACTTTGAAGTACCTGACTGTTAATTAAAAGTTGTCTTGGTAAAGGAAGAAACTTAAACTTGACTGTCCTGTGAGTGATGATTTCAGTTGAGTTATAGGAGAGGATGCTGCCTCTTAATGGTGGTGCAGACATGGTCAGGTCTGAAGTCAGGTTTGTTTCCTTCTGTTACTGATGGCTGGGCACATTACAGCAGAATACGAGCATCTCATTGTGGGTGTTAGCTGCTCTCGCTACCTTCTTGTCTGAGAACCCAGTTAAATAATATAGAATTCTGTCTGATTTCTGGAGGTGGTATTTCAGGAGATGTGTGCTGGGGGCAGGGCTAGCAGAAAAACCCAGGGTGCTGGCAGATGTGCTGTCAATAAATTGGAGGAGGCAGAGAGCTGAGAGCTACGGGCAGCTGAGGAGCCATTCGGGGTCACTCACTTTTCATTGTACTGCAGCTAATTCCAGTTAAAGCAGAAAGCATTTTCTGTTTGTTTTTTTAAGTAGAAAATATGAAAAGCTTTAATTTCTTGTGGTGACCTGCTCAGAGCTGGGCAGTTGAGTCCCATTGTGCAGAGCTCCACATTAAAGTAATGCAAACGATGGGTCCAACAGGTAGTTTTCTGGGGGGGGGGGTGATAAAGTGAAGGTCTGGATGAGCATCCCTCTTTGCCTGTGCAGCTGTAGGCACCTGTCTTTTGTGTGTGCGACCAGACGTGTGGAGAGTCCCTTAATGAGAAGGGGAAAATGGGAATGAGAGCAAACGAAGTTATCGTTCCAAGCAGGACACACTTAGGAAAAAAAAAAACCAAAAAAAACAAGAGAATATACTTGGGTAATGTGTTAGAATCCCATTTTTGAGCAATAACACCCTCGTCGTTGTATTCAAACACTGAGATAAATGCATCAATCTAAATTCATGATTTTGGTTTTTTCGTACAGTTGCTAATTATTGAACATAACTAGCTTATTCATAATTTCTTTTCTCCTTCTGCTTGATAGCCTTAATCCTGTATTTGTGCGGCTGTCATTCCCATGGTAACAGACTAGTGTCTGAAGCAGAAGATTATTAAATACAGAATAGCACATTAAAATAATGTTAAGGTTCTGACTTAGAGACTTTCACATGGGGGCAAACTTCAAAAAAAAAAAAAAAAAAGAGAGAACATTTTTACAAAACGCAATTTACTCTGCCTGTAATGTTCTCTATTCCCACAGCTATTACTGAAGAGATTTGTTTGAGTAACAGCCTGCTCCCTCACAAGCCATCTTCTCCTGCTTTGCAGAGAAATCCTAATCTTATGTTTATGTCGTCAGTCTGTTTCCATGGGAACTTTGTCACCAATGTATCATGACCTCACAACAGGGCGGCAGAGGAGGAAAATGTAGGTTGAGAGGCAGTATTAAAAATGATTATTTAAAAAAAAAAAAAAAGCAACGTCAAGCTTTAGTAGATGGAACAAAACAAAATAGAGAGAAGGGAAATGGGGTTGTCGTGCACTTAGCTAGAAGCTTCTATATGTATATGTGCACAGCCACGTTTATCTTGTCTCCTAATCTTACTTTGCAGAAACTTTCCTATAAAGACATGTCAGTGCTATAGCTCTGTTTATCCCATTGGGTTCATGGCAGCATTGAGCATCCAAGGCTGCATCAGTACACAGCAAAGGTGAACACAGTTTCCTTCAACTTGATACTGGCTGCTGCTGGGCAGTGGTGCATTCCTCTTTCCTGGAGAAAGTGCACCCATTGGTGTCAGGAGCACAGAGGCAGTCGTAAGACTTTGTGTGATCCTTCTCAGAGCTGTCAGTTAAGGCTTGGTGTGGGTGATTCTGGTGTTCACCAAGGCAGCGTGGCTCCCAGCAGTGAGGGGTGTCACCATGTTGGTGCACACCCATCACCAAGGGGCACCACCGTGCTGTGTGTACATTCATATCACCATCAGGTGTCACCATGTTGGTGCATGCACACGTCCTGATGGGCACCACCATGTTGTGTGTGCTCGTGTCACCATGGGATGCCACCATGTTGGTACAGATACAATTCTGTGCAGTCACTGTCCCTGGAGGTGTTCAAGAAAAGGGTGGCTGTGGCACTGATGGACTTGGTGAGTGGGCAGCATTAGCAGTAGGTGGTTGGTTGGGCTGGATGATCTTAGAGGCCCTTTCCAACCTTTATGATTCTGTGGTTCTAGGCAGAGATCTCCAAAGGGAGGTTCTGCTTCCCATGCAGGAGGCTGTGTGCTGGAGCGTGATGGAGCCTCTGGGATGTGCTGACTGATCTGTATGCCTGGCCTTGGAGCAGGGGCTTGTATCACCCTGCTTCTCAGCTCGGCCAATTCCTAAATATCAAGCAAGTAGCAAGCCAAGATAAAAATAGAGAGCCTGTGTACGGAAAGACGCAGCTGCTCAAACGTTATCTTCATTTCCAGGTGCTTAAAGCAGTGAAGCCACGTAGAGAAAGTGTGATTGTCTGCATACATCAGGTATTTTTAATGCATCCTTCATAGCGCTAATAGATCTTTGTGCAGCTTGAACATCAATGAGTGCTACTGGCCACTCCAAATAGTAATGGATAGGTGAACGTTGGGCTTTGCAGACAGCTGATTTGTAGTGTGTGCTTCAGTATTCCTTTCCTCTCGTAAGCAGTTTCTCTCACTTCTAAAGAGCTTAAGCATCATTTTCCTCTTCAATTGGTAATGCTGCAAGAGTCGTGTGAGTACAAATTTGTGTTCTGCCTGCAACGTAAACCTTCTCTTCTTCATTTGCTTTGTTGGTGCTTTTCACGTGCTTTTTGGTTTTAACAAACAAGATTTTCCCCACAGATATTAAAAAAAAAAAAAAAGTAAAAAAAAAAAATGGAAAAAGGACTATAAGGAAACATTATCAGAGTATCTTGTTTTACTCTTAGCCTTAAGAAATCTCTGACATCAAAAGCAAATAGCATTTGGTCTGCTCGGTTGTTTTGTACCTTTCCTTTGTTCCATTTGCAACGTGTGCTGCCTAACTTTGTTTTAGTCTACAGCCTACGATGGCTTTACAAGACAGTTTTGTAAAATCAGAGAGCTGTAACGTTTCCTGCAATGGATTTTGATGTTTCTTCCATCACTGACATGTCCCTCTGGCTGCCAGGGGGAGTTTGAAAACTTCCGCTTGGATCGGAGCGTGCATCCCCTTGAGTATCCTTCATAGGTGCAGTTTAGAAGTGGGAAATGACAAAGTTAGCAGAAAAATATCCTTTGTAAGTAGGGCATCGTTGCTTCTTGTTGCTGAGCTGCTGTTTTGTAGCTGTTGTCTTGTGGCTCCCCCCCACCAGCCCTGCGCCTCTCGGGTAATTTATGACCCAGGCACTGAAATTCTATATTTGAGTGATATATTGAAAAATCCATTTGCTATCAATGACTTCCTTTAATATAAAGGGGAGTAGATTTATGGAAAGAGGAGCACTGGCATCACAAGTACCTGTTATCTCTGCTCTTTTAGTTCATTTGCCCCTAACCCGCGTTGCTGTGATCCAGGTGTGTTATTGGTGCTCTGGAAGATGAGCATTTGAAACTAAATTTCACTCTGGTTTCCACCTCCTGGGAGATAACCTGAGGATGTGGGGTTTCGGTTGCATTGAAACACTGAGGCGTATTCCTTTCTGTGCTGTGCCTATTTTGTAGTCTTTTCTTGAGCTTTTCCTATTGTAGGTAGCAGTGGAAAATTTGAGATGTGTGAATCGCAAAGCAGTGATTTTTGGCTTTTAGCTTGATTCTTTTCCTACTTGTGTGGAAGGGGGAAAAGAAAAAAAGAGCTGGTGCTTTAAAAACGATGCAATAACTGCCTATGGGGATGTAATTCAAAGTTAGTGAAAGCCATGGTTGTGACATGAAACATGCAGTAGGTGGGTGAGGTGCTGTGACCAGGAGCTGAAGGTGGGTGATGGGAGATGATGGGTGAGAGCGGTGACTTCAGTGTCTCTGCAGCAGCAACTGTGGGTTGTGTGCCTATCAACAAATTATCTTCAAATCATCTTCTGTGCCTCGCTTTTCAATTCAACACTCATGGCAGCATGCTAATCCCTGGGCTCCTGCAAATGCAAAAAGCTGTGGAGCAGTGAGGCAGGGCAAAATTAAATTGGCACCGGGGTTGTTTGGTTGAAGGGGACTGGAGATGACGTCTGAACTCAATGCAATTTGACTTCCAGAACAATTGAATTGTAGGTAAAAATATTTCATGACAAAAGGGGTAGAAAAGCTCTGAGGTTTGTAATGGAGTACTTAGCCTAAAATAATTTCAGTGGGTTTCACGGGAAGATTGCTTCCCACATTAATTGACTTGTACTTAAAAGGAGGATTGCTCCGAAGTAACGAGGCTCTATTTCAAGACATCTGAAGAGCTGCCCTGGGATATTTCCCAAAGTCTGGGAGGTTCAGAGGTTCAGCAGCTGTCGGGGAGATGCAGTGTGTACTTTCAAAAGGGAACAAGAATTAGATGGCAAATTACTGCGGTTTTGTTCGTTTTGATGAATTCTCCAAATTGCATGTCTAATTGTGCTCAATTATTGCAGCCTGGTGTAGATAGGTTAATAGTTTCTAGACGTTGATGTACACTGATTCCTTTCACAGGCTTGAGACAACAGTCAATGTATGAAGAATGACTAACTTTGGTTTACTGTCAATTGTTGGGGATGCTTTTTATTTTTTTTTTTGCGTTTCTGCTGCTGTATTATTGGCAGCCTTTAAATTGATCCAATTTGGAAACGGAATGAGAAATTAGAGTGTACTTATGGTGGACGTGTTTCAACTAAATTATTAAATGAAGTGGTTGACTTTTCTATCTGAATTAAACCAGCAGAAAAACTATAATTAACTACTTCATTGACTGAGGAGAAGCTGGAAATTTGACGTAAGGCATTGACCTCATAGATTTTTCTTCTTCCCCAACCTGTGGAAGCCAGGGAAGGCTTAAACAGGGATAAAAGAGGAGACGGGTACATCTAATTTGCTTCCAGAAATAACAAAAGGTCTTCATTCTTGCAGATCTCTTCTGCTTTATTTCTCCTTTCCCTCGCAAAGGTTATCTGGCGGTTTCTGATAGTTGGCAGTGCAATGATCCTTGCAGCTTCTCTGGTATCGCTCACCCTTGTAAAGAGGTGCCTTTGGATGTGCCAGAGGCTCGGGCTCCTTGGGGGACCTTGCCGTGCTCTGACGATACAGCATGCAGTTTTAATTATGGCTCAGAGGGATGGGGGGAAGACGGGTTTCATTTCTTTCATAGGAAGGGCACGTAGCTGCTCCGATGACAAACACTCTGAGGCTTTGCTGTGTGCCTGTGTAGCGAGTGCCCTGCAAAGTCACGTTGAATTTCTGAAGCTTATGGCAGAAGCAGGCTTGTCCCAGCACTGTGTGCCTTCTGTTTACCCCGCGTGATAGGAATGAAGTGCTCTGCCATTACAGAGTTCTGGTGTGGTGCACTTGGAAGATGCCTCACTAATATATACCCCCTGGTCTGTGTCTGTATGCTGCCACAGCAATTAGGTGGCACTGAACTTGCTTTTTTGGACAACTGATGTGGATGGAGGAGGTTGGGCAGTGGGGAGGTGCACCTTGTCACAGCCCCTGCTTTTGCTGTGGTTTATTTTTGCTATTACTGAGCATGGCTCACAGCCCCTGCCCTCACCCAAAGTGCCCAGCCTTGTACTCTGCAGTGCTCTGCAGCCCCACAGCAGGTCAGGAACCGTGGAGATGTGGCACTGAGGGATGCAGGTAGTGGGCAGTGTTGGTGGTAGGTGGATGGTTGGACTGGATGATCTTAGGGTTGTTTTTCCGACCTCACTGATTGTATGATTTCGTTGCAGTCTGACTTTTCTGTGCTCTCCTCATAGTCATCATTGGCTTTTCTTACAGAAAAGAAACAAAGCAGTGCAGCACCACCTCTGGTTTGGATATTTGCTTAACAAAACACGTGTGCTGCTTACATGACAGAATCAGCTTCTCCAGGAAGAGTCCAGCAAGGCTCAAATAAGACAAGGTGCTCTGTTCAAGTCTCTGGGATGTGAGCAGATGTCCTGCACCCGTTGTTAGGCTGGGATTCGACAGCTGCTCTGCTGCCAAATATGTTAAGTATGATGGGTAGACACTTACTTGGCACAGCTGCCCATTCCCGGTGAAATGCTGGAAAATGCATCGCATTCATATCTTGTGAAAGCAGCGTGTAATAAGTGGTTGGTGAGAGCCCATAGAAACAACCACTGCAACACTTACCCCCAGCTCCACAGGGCTGCATAGCTTTGGTTTACAGATAGGCAGATGGAGATGTTTGTAGGTGGAAAAACCAAGGTTTGGGAGTGTGTGGCATCTCGGTATCAACCAGTGATGTAAACCAGCGATTATGCAGTAAATCCTGCTATATGAAGTATCACCAGCTGTTCATTACAGAAGAGTACATCATTGTTATCTGAATAGCAGGCGTTTTTCTTTGCTTTATTTGCATGCAAAATAACGTACGCTTCCTTGAAAGCTGGATGCATGTGGATCCGTATCACACAACAAACTGAGAAATGAAGGATCACATTTTCTTAGCAATACGTGCTATGCTGCTGTGGTACTTAGAGCCCCTTTGATCTAGGAAAATATTTGCTTTTTATCAAGACTATCCAAGTTACTTTCCTAATATGAAACCATATAAGCCATGTAAAAGCGGATTTCTTGGCACTGCATGGCATTAGTAATTAATTTTTTTGTTGTTATCGTACAAATGCATTTTATTTCCTATCTGAAGCATTCACCTAAATATATAAAGTGATATTACAGCCTTTATTAAGTTCATACTTAAAGGTTTCACTGGGGACTTAATGGGGTGCGTGCTCTATTTTGCAACGAGGACAGGTGTGCTAAGTACATTTCCATTTGCAGAATAATAAAAACAGAATGCTTTTTAATTATTATTTATGCTAATTGTCTTATTTTTAAAATCAGCTCAGCCAGCCCAGCCTGCCTTGATGCTGGCGTGCTGCTGAAGGTTCCTCACTGTAATGAAAACCCCTGGGTGACCTGAGGGAGCGATGGTTTAGTTCTGCCAAGTGAAATTCTTGTAAGCCTTGTATGACACTGTGTGGGTCTGCTGAGCTCGTTCACATATCCCTGTCTTATACATGGCGACTTCTTTAACCTTATCTATTTTTAATCATGCTATACTGCAGTAAGTATATATGATAGCCTGATAGCCAGCTTGGTGGGAGAAGCTAAAATCACTCTGAATACAGGTTTGCTGTAAGGTTTCTGAGAGCAATAATGGGATGCATTTGAGGTATGCTGTTACAAAAAGGTGAGCTATCCATCAAAGGCGCAATCTTGGATTTGAGTCTTCTATTTAGATTAAGCGTGTTAAGAAAGATGGATGGCAAACGTGTTTCAGCAGCATTGTCCCCCAAACCAGAATGAAATGTAAAGACGCTTGAAGGATTCAATTACGTTAGCAAATAGTGTGAACAGGAACTGGG